CCGACCAACTGAATTAACACGGCATGTAATTGAAATTCAGTCTGCTTATCTTTTTTTTTAATAGAATTCGAAGGAGAGGAGAATTTTGCATGCTGGGATAATATCACTGAAAAATTTTCGAATTACAATCTCCCCTGGCGTGGTGTTCACATTTTCCCAATATTTAGCATATATGATCCTTGCTGCTATCAGTATATGTAAAACTAAATATGTAGTCCCTTTATCACAACCCTCTGGTAATATATCAGTACCTAGGAGACATGTTTCTGGTTTCAACTCAATATTTTTCAGTGATATTATCCCAGCATGCAAAATTCTCCTCTCCTTCGAATTCTATTAAAAAAAAAGATAAGCAGACTGAATTTCAATTACATGCCGTGTTAATTCAGTTGGTCGGTAGACAACGTAATTTGCGTTCCCTTCTGGTTCTGCAAATGCTATAATGTGAAAGATTTAACTTGAATGTTTTTGATTTAAATCAGTTAAAAAATGTGATTAGCCAAAGTTATTTAGAGACCTTGGTTAAAGTTAATCAAGACTGATTCTATTCACGGGCCAGGCAGAAAAATTAATTTCCCAAAGGGAAAAGAGATGTAAATTTTTGTCTGAGACAGAATGTGTAAGAAAAAAGAAGAGGAAATACGAGCTTGTAGCATTCTTGCTTTCATAAGTATTGCAGTGAAAATTAAGGAAAGCAGATGTTGCCCTGGATCAGTGCATCCCAACCTCAGCCATTTTAAGATGGGTGGACTTCACCTCCCAGAATTCCTCAGGCAACATGGCAGCATGACTGGCTGGGGAATTCTGGGTGTTGAAGTCCACCCATTTTAAAGTGGCTGAGGTTGAAAAGCACTGTGGTTGCTTTGTTCATGTTCATATTTCTAATTGATAAACGCTGCACTGGACATATATACATTTTAATTTGGACAGGACATACAGATTTTAATGTGTTATTAACTCAGTTTTGTTTTTCTGTATGGCAGAGCTTTGCTAGAAGCAGAAGGTCGCCAATGGATTCTCATGTGGAATGAAGAACATGGAAGGAGGTTACCCAAAGGTACGAAAGATGGAAATATATCAATGCATTTAAAAGCAGAAAGGAGGGGTCAACATCCATTCCTGCTTTGTTGCAAACTATATGGAGCCTGTATAATGAGATACACTGTATACAGGTAGTCCTCAACGTACGACTGCAACTGAGGCCAATATTTCCGTTGTTAAGCAAGACCGATGTTACGTGAGCTTTGCCCCAGGTTGTAAAATCAGGGGTTTCTGACATGCAAAGTCAAATGGGACGTTGGTTTCTTTTAACAACCATGTGATT